AGGTCGACATGGTGAGTGATTGCACGTAAGATGAAAACAGAAAACAGAGATTAATGAACTGTGAGAAAAAGGATCGCTCGTACTCGCTATGCCTCCAGACCGTGTCCAGCTCTGGTATTTATAGACAGCACGGCCATGGTGATATGAGAGACCTGTGAGGAGCACACAATTCAAGGAAGCCATCCCAAGGAATTTCAATAATGGTGGGGTGGCCTCCTTTGGTCCTGATCCTCTCATGTCATCTTCACTTCATATCTCTCCCTCACACAAATGCTAGACTAGCACGCACGTCCGCACTGTAATCTCCACTAATGTTTTCTTTTCGTGTGTTTTATCTAAAAAAAAAAAAAAAATTCTGCTAATGATGCTGATTGATTTAGTAAAAGACAATGGTAATTTGATTTGGTTAAGACTTAAGACTAGTAGTCATCAACAGTCGAGATGCTTAGACTCAGCCTTCTATATTTATTGATTTTCCAAAGAATAGCATCATTCATTCATCCTTTCACCATTAAAATAAGATTCAATCATGCAGTGAAATAATTTACTAGCTCAATCGGATTTTTGGTTTTTGATAAAAAAAAAAAAATCTTCAAAATTGATCATGACTTGGCCCCTTCAGTCATGATTAAAAAAGAAAAAAATAAAAAGGGTCGAGAAGATGTTGTCAATGCAACAGTGGAAAAATCTTTCGTTCTCTCTCGTCCATCATTATATGGGCTTCACCAATCACTGAATCGCACACCCAACTGAAAGCTGTAACACAAAATTATTTAATTTGTTCATACAAAAGATCTTAATTTTTATATATATTAAAACTAAGAAATTTAGTCATTTCAATGGGAATATGGTTCGCTCATGATCTAAAGTAAGGCCCGCAAATATGCTCGTGCATGGGTGACCACCCAAGTGTTTGGTTGTTCCTTCACTGTTCTACGAATGGCATCAAGCCCAAAGTTACTGAGAAACTCAACAGAGAAAATCGAATGAATGGCCTTAGCACATTGGAGTCCAAGTATGCCAAACCATTTAAATTTTATGGTTTGTTTCCTTTTTTTTTCCCTAAATTTTTTAGCAATGGAACAGTGAGAGCAAACAGAACCTATATAGTTTTTGTTTCTTTGCAATAGAAGTTGCTTCTCATTGTAGCCTACTTTCTTTTCAAATCCATGTCAAACAATCCGTAGCCTTACGTTATTGTTATCTTTCTCTCACTTTTTATCCTCACATGCAAGGTTGTCGGTCCTCCCCCCACTTCCCTATTCTCTCAATTTCAAGGATAGAGCTTAGAACAGGGCACCAAAAAAGGAAAAAAGAAAAAGAAAAAACTGGAGCTCATAACAAGCAACTGAAATTTGTTGTTGGGCGGCGATCAAGACCCAGTGACGCTTGACCCAAGGTCCCAAGCCACACTCTATTGGGTACTGTTTGGGACAATTGCTTTCTCCCATGCATATAGATGATAGATCTACTTCCACATAAGTACAAATACAATGTAGGCGTTTGAACTTTTCCATATTGGACTGTTTCCTTTTCGGCTGTATTTCTAATTTCTCTGTGGCGCCTAATAACGCTTTATGCGTTGGGAAGTTGAAATTACGAGAAACAAACAACTGTACATCACTACATTGAGTTATGTGCAGAAAGTCTTGCTTTTTCAATTTCCAATGTCACAAATCAAACACAAACATTGAAACTTCAACCCACCATTGTGAATCCGGATTTGCTACTCCACACAGCGTCTCACACCAATCTCAAAAGCCGTGTATTGGAAATGGAAAGTGGAAACACATATACCATAATTGTATATTACTAGGAAAATATTCCCAATTTGATTTGTACCGTACATCAAGCACTTTCTGTATCTTTTGTTCGGCAAATTGTTGCATTTTTGAGTATCAAATTCTTCTATAATTAAAAAAGTTGTTTAAGTTTAACCAAATCAGGTGAAAGAATTCTGGGTATGTTATAGTGCAATAACTGAATCGTGAAGCTGTTGCTAAAAAACGCAACCTCTCAAGTCTCAGCAATAACCGAAGCAAAGAAATAAAAAGAGAAGTGGAAAATGGAACACAGTGTGTTGAAGTATGCGGATAGTCCACGTGGCTAAACCTTCATATCGCTACTTGCGATGCTTGCATTTGGATTGGATTGCGAATTTGCCATGTGTCATATCAGGAGAAAAAAAGTGGCATTGTGATGTGGGACCAGCTTTGGCAGCTTTTAAGATTGTGATGAATGTGGCATCCTTTTTATACTTTATTTTGCTTTGTTTATCTATAAAAGAAATTATAATTTATTTTGATGAACATGACGTCCATTCATCATCGTCTATACTCTATATAATGAGCCTTGTACCCTTCGTGAACGGTAAAAAGTGAGGCACCGTGTGGTGGGTCACTCGCCAGTCGCCACCCATTTGAACGACCCACAAAGTCGCAACTGCCCTTTGCAAAAATATAGAATTAAGCTAAATACCACAAGTGATAAGATAACCATCTCTTTGTTAGGGAAATAGATGGAAGATATGTCCTTTCATCATCATGTGAAGTTCCACATTTTCCAATGTCCAAATCGCGCTTCTGAACAATTATACCGGAAACAGGGAAATCTATACGAATATAAAATTTAAGTTTAGGTTTATCCATACGAATATAAAACAGGGAAATTTATGATATCTGAAATACATGGAGGCCGAACCATTTTTGCCTCCAGGTTGTGGGTCACCAGTTCGAACAGTTGGATCAAATGGTTCAGACCATGCCACATCAATGCATACATACATATATATATATATATGATGTGTATAAATATATATGTATATTTTAACAATAAATAATATATAAATATGTTTTAGATATGTTATATGTTTTTTAATTCAGTTTTTTATATTTTATATTTTTTATTTATAAAAAATATTAAAAATTACAATTTAAAGCAAAAAAAAAAAAATTGTGAAAATAACAGGGAGGCACCTTGGGACACATAGATCTCCAAAAAGTTACCCAAAATAAATAAAAAAAAATACCCGAATCGAACATCGGAGTGCAAAGTTATGGCCTCTGAAAGTTTGCATACATTGAATGTGCAACCCACAACCCAATCACCAAGTCGAACGATTCTTGACCAAGTCAACAGTTTTTTACCGTCTGATGTGTCTTGACTGAACTGGAACTGAAATCCTGACCGGGTGATGGTTCAAATGGTCCAACCCACCGGGTCAATGGCAGGTTGAAAACACTGGTTTAAACCCTGTAAAGTGAAAATTTGCTTTGATTTTTTGTGCAAATCATAAAATTTTAATCTGATTATATAATGTCAACTTATATTTTTACCATTTACTTACACTAGTGTAGTTAAAGTGAAACACACTTACACTAGTGTAGTTAAAGTGAAACACACCCAATAGTATAAAAGAGTATATGGAGTTTAGCCATAAAATTAATACGAGACATTAGAACCCTCTTATGAATCATTAATCACGTTTCATGGCCATCCAAATTATAGATTCAAGTTCACATGCTAAGACTACCCAGTCAATATAATTTTTTTTTCCAAAATCCGGACCCAACCCCAGATTCTCTGCATGGAATTTGAAACATATGAATTATGCATTTTTTTGGTAAACAAACATATAAACTAGATTGAGCTGATAGAATGCAGGGTCCATAGAGAATGATGGATTACCAGACCGTGAGAGCATACAAAATTAAATGGAATCTTCCTTTAAATCCTCGTTAAAACCACCAAGTAAATATACCCAACTTAATTACATTTCATATCTCCTGGAAAAAAGGGATCAAACCCAAGAAGTTGTACAGTGCAGAACAAGTAAAAGCTACACGCGAATGACATCCCCAAGGCAATCAAAAAAATGAGAAATGTCAATCTTTGCTTTACCAGAATAAATGGCCTCTGCACCTCCACCTCGTGCCCCCTGGGCAGCCATTTCGATTAGCACGTAGAGCTTCTTGATTGGCATCTGAGAAAACATATCATAATACAAAGTAACCATATGAGAAGTGAGAATCACTACCATCTATCATAAAAAAGAAAGTGAGAATCACTACCTTGCTTTTAAACAAACCCATGTGTCAGTCTGTAAAATCATTACCCTATTCAAAAGAGCACTATGGATGTCTTATACAAGTGAGAGTTCTAAAATGCAACAAGAATTTTTCCAATGTTAACTCCACCGGTCTAACTCAGTCGTGAATGACCTGAAAGTTGCAGTAGCTTGGTGATCGGAGGAAAAGGTTCTTGGATCTGAAAAAGAGAATGTCCCCAAATTCCCCAGAACTACGCAATTTATAGGCAGTTAGGGGGGCTCCCTGAGTCCCCTCCTGGAAAATGCTCTACTCTTTCTGGGATCTCGAGTCTCTTCTGGAAAATTCGACACTCTAGAATCTCGAGTCTTTCCTGTCGTGCAAAGACCAGACACAAGACACGTCACCATGACTCCCCCACTCAGCTGACCTTACTGGGCATAATACAAGGTCATGCTGTTCTTACACCCCCTAAGCACGTTTCTCAAATGCCCTAAAGCACCATTCTTTTAATACCACGTGACACCAGCCTTCCTTCCATCTTTACTCTCATGTGTTATTTAGTTGCTCTTTAATTTATGCTCTTACAGCTTCATAAAACTTGAATTTGGGGGTCTAGGCATTGGCAATATTAGAATAAGAAATGTAGCATTGTTAGGGAAGTGGTTGTGGAGGTTTCCCCTAGAGCAGGACAGTTAGTGGTTTTTTGTGGTGGAAAGTATTCACAGGATGGCAGCAAATGGATGGGATGCTGGTGTCAACCCTAGGGCCTCTCATTTCTCCCATTGGAAAGCCATTGTTGGAGTCCCTTTCATCAGATTTGGTGTGCTCAGGTAACAAAATTCTGTGTTGGGAAGACATTTGGATTGGAACACTCCCCTTAAGGATAGGTTCCTGGTAATGTATTCTCTTTCCATAAATAAATTCAAGCCTATTTCCTTGTTTCGTGTGTCTAAGGGGTCCTAGGATTTGGGCTTCAAAAGAGGGTTAAAGGATTTAGAAATGGTTTGTAAAGATGAACTTTTCACTCTTTTGAGTTCAGTTTTCCTAGATCTTTCTTGCCCAGACAGAAGAATCTGGATAGAGTCCTCTTCAGGGTTCTTGCTCTTCTTTCTTCAATGCCCTAATTCAGCCGACTGTTGCACCTATCCCTTTTCCTGTTAAAGAAGTATGGTGTACTCCTGTTCCACCAAAGGTTAAGGCATTTTGTTGGGAAGTATCTCTCCAAAAGATCAATACTATGGACGTACTTCAAAGAAAAAGGCCAGATTGGTGCCTTTCCCCACGTCTGTTGCCTTTGCTTAAGGAGTAGTGAGACAGTGACTCATCTTTTGATCTCTTGTCCTTTTGCTTCTTACCTTTGGGTTTATTTCTCCTCTCTGTTTGGTTGCAGGTGGAGTCCCCCCCCCCCCCGTGTGTTGAACATTTTTTACTCTAGTTTCTTCCAACAACCAAAAAACAGGGTAGGGTAATGTAGAGAATAACAAGAGCAGCCATCCTATGGTCGATTTAGGAAGAGAGAAATAATAAGATTCTCCAAGGGCAAGAAAAATCCAATGAAACACTTGCTGAGGGCATTACCATTAAGATTCTACATTGGCTGAAAGCTCTACAACTTTTCAAGGACTTTTCCTTAATTGATTTAATTAGAAGTTGGAATACTAGTATCCTCTTCCTCTTCTCCTATAGTTCAAGTGAGTTGGTCCCCACCGCCACAGTTCAGGGTGAAATTGAATTTTGATGGAAGGTCCTTATGTAATCCAAGTCTGTCGGGAGTTGAGGGTGTCTTCAAAGATGAGGAAGGAAGAGTGTTGGACCTATACTCGGGGTGGGAGACTCTTTAAGGGTAGAAGCCAAGGCCTTACTCCAAGGCCTGAGATTGGAAAAACAATGGGGAATGCAACACTTAGAGGTGGAAGGAGACTCCAAGCTGGTAATAGGGTGGATGCAAGCTAGAAACCTGGGAGTGTGGTCATTCAAACAGCCACTAAGAGAAATTGTAAGCATAGCAAGGGAGCTTGGGGTGCAATTTAGATGGGTGACACTTTAGCTAAGCAAGGAGTTAATAGGGAGGCTTTGTTTTGGGCTTGTTTGTAAGGCTAATATTGTTTTGGCTTCTCCAACCATCCTTTGGGTGCTGATACTTGTACTCTTTATTTAACTTCATCAATGAAAGTTAACATTTCCTATCAAAAAAAAAAAAAGAGAGAGAGAGAAAAATTGAATCTGTTTTATTTTTGATAAATAAATTGAATCTGTTTTTCATCACTTCCATAACTTGATGCCAGATGGAGGCAGGCGTATCAATGTCACCAAGTTTTACAAATGCAAGCACTACTATAAAAAACTAAATGGATGAAAACTTCATCTCAGCAGAAATATTTGGTCATAAGAAAAAAAGATTGACATCTCCAAACCAAGCGGTGTTTTATTTTAAGTAGGTTTAGTTTTGCCCCATATGAATCTACCAAGTATTAACCACCGTTGGTTTCCAGCAATGACCAGTACCATGACAAAATCCCTTTATTCCACAACTATTACTGAATGGGAACCTCATGGGCTGGAGACAATCATCCACAGTGGGCTGGGCAACCTATCATGAATGAACATTCCAGTGTTCCGTACACGTGGGGCCCACATGGGATCCACACTTTATGCATATGGAACAATGGTGAACACTCATGATAGGTTGCCCAGCCCACTGTGATGATTTTGTCTCCAGCCAATCAGCACAGTCAACTTCATGGACATACTGGTAAATTGTAATGACCATATTTCATCAGCAAGTGTCAAAATAAGCAGGAAGATAGATAGTACCCAATCTTATATCTAGGTTTTGCAGTGTAATATTCAATGCCGGAAAGATTACTGAAGAGGGGAAAGAGTTGGGGTAGAATGATATATCTCATGAAGAATTAATGGAATTAAACTTACATTATTGAGGGCCTCTGCAGCTGCATCTATATCATCTTCAGTGAACACCTTTAATTGTTCCAAAACCTGCATAGAAGAAAATGCCAACAACACTCAGATTCACAAACATTATCTTTCTGATAAGTGAAACAGATGCAACTGAACTTACATCTGACAATATCTTAAACTGAAGTATAGAAGCATTATCACTAACAGTTTTGTGTAAAAAAATAACCAATGGATGCCAAAAAAAACATGGAGATTCTAGTCATTTTTAATAGAATATGATGTTCCTTGTCTAATAATATGAGAAAATGGAGACAACAAACTCAGACGTAGAAACACAACATGTTTGCTCTACAGGCACTGAGGCACATCGATAGAGATTTTAAGCATCTAACCCCAAATGTGAGGAAGGCAAAGGATTGCCCTCAAGATTATGAATTTATCGGTCATCAGTTATGGTAATGCAATCCAACTCTATCCTAATATCAAATGTAATGAATAATCTTTCACTAGACTATAGATACATCATACATGATGAGCTTATTCCAAAATGTCAAAATAAGACCAACTCTGAAGAAGAGCACTAATCTCCTCATTTAGAAGACAAATATATTTACATAGCATTCATATCAGTGTATAGTTAGCCACCTACATATGTTTAAAAAACAAATTATGCAACATCCAAAAAACAATTATGAAAGACTGTTAGTTGAAGGTGACTTTAAACTGGTAATAGGGTGGATGAAGGAACCTGAAACTGTAATTTGGAAATACAAAGAATATATGAAAAGATTTAAGTGGCTGGTCAGAGATATGACAATTTCAGTCCAATGGGAAAGGCTGACGGTCAGCTAAGGTGATAACTAATTTCTTTGCAAAACAAGGGGTGCATAGGTCTGAATTATTCTGGGCTAAGTTGTAATCTGTCTTTCTGGCTGGGGCTGCATCTCCCGTCTCTGCTGGATGTACTCTGTAATCATGTGATATTTAGTTCTGTTCTAATAAAATTTCTATCATTTTCCAGAAAAAAAAAAAACATCCAGAAAACTATTACTTCCCCTAGTGTGTGTGTGTTGTTAAGATTGCGCGTTGAATTCCAGGGCAAGTTGTATTTGCCCTTTTTAGAAGATTTCCTATTTGAAATGTAATACTACCTTTTTGAGGGTTTTCTTGTTGTACAAGAAAAGAAGGGTTCTTGTACCTCTATAAAGGTATACATTAGGATATTTTCTGGTGAGGATTTGTCCTCAATGAGGGTATTGGGTCCTCCACGAGAAATGTGTGCTCTCCAAAGGAAATGTTTGTACCCTCCACGAGAGATTTGGATCCTCCAAATGTAAGAAGGCGAGTCATTTGGTGGAGTCTCCTGGAAAATATGTTTGGTGAGATAAAAACGTGTTTACTTGTAATTTTGGATCCTCTATTACCCAGTTGTAATTTTGCTTTGTTTCTGAGGCAGAATCTCATGCCTCTCTATGGGAACTCTATCATGTACCTTATGCTGGCTCATATTAATTATTCTTAATAAATCACTTTATTACTTATCAAAAAACAGCATGTAAAACTCTCAACCTCTTTATTTTTCCCCCAATGTCATTACTTCAAATAGTTAATGTGATGTTGAACATTATGCATTCTTGATTCTATGAGCAGCCTTTGTACCCAAGTCCCTCAAGGCAAGACCAAACCAGTCCACGGTGCAGGATGGGCTGAAGTGCAAGACACACCAGGCATGTGCCTTTTGAAAGTGCTGCACCTAGGACCTAGACGAGGTGCATACCCTAAAATGCACCCTACCTGTAGGCGCGCCTTTTAAATCACTGGTTACGATAAGTGCAGCTAATGTTAACTCTGGGAAGTCTGGCATCAAGGGTTTAGACACTAGATGGCATAATAAATTCTCAGGACTTATTGGTGTTGGAGACTCGATAAGAGAAGAATTACAAGCAGTCATTCAAGGATTAAGAATGACAAGGGATCAACATTTCAATAGCCTGGTAGTAGGATGGGATTCAAGGATTGTTGTTGGTTGGCTTAATAATGCCTTGAACTAAGGCATAAGCTAACCAACAAAAATTCACCAGGGCGGTCTGATGGTCAAAATTCTCCCTGTGTCATACCCATCTACTCTCATGTTTGAGAGTTGAAATTAAGTGAGCACAAATGCCTTCTTTTTTTTTTTGAAGAATAAAGATAAAAAATTTATCAAAAATATAAGAGATACATCAAGGAGGTGATAAGATATCACCAAAAGAAGAAAAGCAAGACTCATAGACCCTTTGAGACCCCAAACCCGCATAACTTGATAACAAAAAGGAATGCCCAAACAATTCCAAACTAAGAGCCAGGAAAAAACCCCAAAAAACATAGCCCAACAACCCATCAAGAAAATAGAAAAACATAAGCCCTGGCTAGCCGCAACCTTGACTTCAGAAAACCTCTGTGGACATGTCTTCTCGGATTGACTTGTCTTCATCCCATATCTTGTCTATTTTCGGACGGGCATCTTTCTTGGACTTCTCTTCCTTTCTTTTCCTTTCAAACTCCTTAAAATCCATTCTAGCAAACTCCTCACCACCCCAATAAAACAGACCTAGGCCTTTCACAATTGTAACCTCTCTGTCCACTATTTTTTGGAGGGCCCCCCCACCTGATTCCCCTACATAACTGTTATCATTTTGAATCATCTGTCTCATCACAGATTCAGAATAGCCTCCGCTTGAATTATTTTCCTATTGCTCTTTCGGCATCAGGGAGGAAGAAGACTGAGACTGGTTTGTTCCCCCTCCTCTTTAGTGTTGCCCCTTCTACCCAAATTGACACCCAACTTTCCGATCTTCACCTCCTCAAAGCGAGAAGCATTGCTTTCAACTTGTTCTTTGGTGGTCTCCTCATCACCTGAACCATTTTTCCCTTCCTCCTTACATTCAATTTCCGACTGAACATCAGCATAAAGATTCCTATCCGAGCCCGTCTCCTCTTCCCCTTTTGGCCTCTCAGTTTCAACAGGTACTAGCAGGGTTAAAAATATATTAATACAACCTAATATGCCAGTAGGGGTGTATCAGACTGTGTCGAGGCTCCCTCCCCTATTTTATTTTTAGTTTTTTTTAACCTGGTTCAAAGGGGTCGGTTTCCTGTAGGGGCATACCGGGAAGCCCCCAATATGATACGTATCAAAATTTTGAACCTTGGGTACTAGCACCTCCGAAGGCTGAGACAAAGAAGATTCGTCAAGAACCTTCCCTAAACCATCAAAGATTCTTTTCCAACCATTTTTATCAAAGTTTGCAATCACCCAAATCCACTTCTCTTCCTTCCTTTTTCTAGCCTCAGTCGAAAAACTCCTTACCCATTCACTTCTTTTCAGCTTTGATTTAATCAATCCTAGCACCTTTCTCTTGCCACCTTCCCTTTTTCTGGAACAACCTCCCTTCCTCCCGATATGCAGATCGACCTTAAATTCCTATTCACTGCACTCCTTTCCTAATGCATGAGGTGAGGACTTTATGCAAGAGCCCTTCTCTACAAAAGTCATCGGAGCATTTGCACCACACACCTTAATACCACCCTCCGGAAAACGAAGAAAATCTTCTACGACTGCGAGCTTAACGCCATCAATTCTCTTACCTAAAGAAGAATGAAGGGGGTTAATTTCTCCTGTCGAGACAAGTGAAGGCTCCCACGCACAGATTGCTTGATAATCTCTTGGGCTGACTCCACCAGCTCAACCAAGACCCAAAATCGATTCATCTTCCAAGGCCATAGCCAGATCAGGCCTCATTTGATTAAATATGAAATGTGGGCCCATCGTAATAGATGGTGTGGCTTCGTCCTTAATGGCCTCTGCACAAGTCTGATTACCCCTCACACGAACTCCAATTCCCGATACTATTAAGCTAGGACTATCAACGGGTCGGGTCTAGGTCGGAACCGACCCAACATGAAATGTTGAGGACACAGACCCAGAACTCGACCCGATAGGGTCTGTAATTTTTGAACCCGGAACTGAATGGATCGATTCTTGGGACAATTGGATTGGCCCGACAGACCCGATTATAATAAATAATAAACAAATATTTATGTTTAATATATATTAAATGTTATATAATATTATGTATATATATAATTTATTTATTTTATATATATATAGGGTCAGATCTGAATCGATTCGGGACTAGGGCTGCAAATATCCGATCCAATCCGTTAAGAAAATTCAATTGATCCGAATCCAATAAGGATCCGTTGGATTTTCAAAAGCATGATCGAATATATTATTGGATATCCAATTCGATTAGAATTATATTTATTTTTTGTAATGTAAATAATATAAATAATATATTATATTATTTATATAATACAATAATATAGTAAATATAAAATATATAATATGTAATTATATAAATAATATATAGAACATACATATATTATATATGCAAATAATATATAGTATATAATATTTCATAACTAACGGATCGGATCGGGTCTCAACGGCCCGGATCCGTCAATATCCGAATTCGATCCATTAACTTAATGGATCGGCTTTTCCAATCCAATCCGTTTTGTTATGGATCAGGAGAGATCCGAATCCGCCTCTTAACGAAACGGTATCAGATTCGGATCGGATCGGATCCGACTTATTTGCAGCCCTATTTGGGACTAGGTGGAACCGGTTCCGAACCGATAGTAATCGGGACACAAAACTGCCCGTCGGTTCCAATTCCCAGAACCAGAACCGACCCAATTGGTTCGGGTCCATCGGGTCGGACCCAGCCCATTGACAGCCCTATATTGAGCTGTTAACTTTCGTAATCAGGAACCTTCCAGCTAGCATCGTCTTCTTCCTTGGAGTAACTTCTCCATCGTGACGATTCAACTCCTAGAAGAACCCAAACCTTCAGCCAGACATCATCGGTTCTTTTCAATGGTTAATATACGCCTTAGTGCAAGGCGTAAGTGTAAAAGATCCAAATTAGTGAGGAACCATGTTAATATAGACACATAATGAGAGAAATCAAGCATTTTGTTACAGAACTGAGAGCAACATTCATGTGGATTTGAACATCAAGCAACTGTATTGCTGATGGACCAGCTAAACAGTGGACTAGCAGAGCTCAAATGTACTTTGGGAATTATTCCTGTCCTGAGTTGGATGATTGAGTTGTAATTTGAATTAAGTGGGTTGAGGGTTAGGTAGTGATTTACCTTTCTGGCATCTTCAGTTTTCAATTGTGGGACATGATAAGTAACAGAGAAAGCATCACAGATACCAAGTGAATCCAGGAAAGCTGACTCACTAGTTGTACCAATCACCAACAAGTTTTTTCCCTGACAGAAAAACAAGAATTAAAAAAAATCAGACACTTGTTCCAAAATTGAATTTACCTTTTTTAACAGTTTTGGAAGATAAGGCCATAGATAGCATAGAATGGGAAACATGATTTTCAGAAAAATAAGAATGAATTAAAGCTTCCAGGGAATTGGACCAGATATTATGTCATCCAACTCAATAAACAAAAGCACCCAAACTAGCACCTATTCCCAAACAAAGTATAGGTATCCTGATCAAGTGCGGCTTTATTGGGTAATATGACATACAAGATCAAATTAGAACTTGATATCCTTCTACAAGCAAAAGATTTTATTGGTTTCTGATTTTCATTCAGAGATCAACAATGGGTAGATGGATCTAGCTCTGCACTCAGAACTACATGAATAATTTTGAACATTTAGAGTTAATAAGCTAAATGAATGAAATAAACAAGAACAAAATTCACAAAGATTTTTTCATTTTCTTTGCAAAAGAGAGAAGAAAAAAAATTCAAAAATGTATCTGCCAAGTGCAACCATGGTCAACACTGGTTTGAACCAATTAGCATCCACAACAGAAATTTGCACTTCACTAAAATATCATCATAATCATAAACCTGTGGAAGTGAGAAAAGTATTTTACCCTTCTAAAAAAAATGATAGAATTTACCTTTTCTCAACAATAAAAAAAAACTTCCTCCCCTTTCTATGTTGTTTTTATTGTTGTTATTGTTGTGTATACATTTTGCCTTTTCCTTTTATCTTGGGTGGGGGATAACTGTATTGTAAATGGCCCCTTTATTTGTACACAGTCCATTTCCAGTGTTTACAAGGTGCATGCATTAGAGGAATCTTCACTGCCACCTGGACTTCCCAGAGTGTTCCTAAGGTGTTGGAACCAAGGGACACTGTGCACTACTATAGCATAGTAGCACTTGCCAGTTGACACCCACACCACCATGAACCTTGGAGTTTGGACCAATTCATATAATTATTTTTTTAATTATCTCTAGGATTGAAAACAAAGAAAGGAGACATAAAGAAAAACCTTTGGAGGGAGTCGTTTGAGGAGGACCAACAATGTCTGAGAAATCAAATTTGAAAAACGGGGTCCAATTGGAACGTACTCCAGTAACCTGCATCAGTTATTGAAACAACCATTGAACACAAAAGAAATAACACAGAATAAAAAAAAAAAAAGAATGAAAAGAAAAACAGAAGTTTATGAAAAGTCAAAAGAATTTAAATCATCAGGAGTTACCTTTCAATGTCATCAAGGATGATGATGCTCAATGGTGATTTGTATGCATCCTCAAATACCTGGGAAGGATATGTGATCAGAGATGAGTTTTAGGCTTCTTTCATACAAGTTTAAAGGCCAACCACTGAGACAGATAAATCCAAGATAACATAACCAAGCAGACTACATAAAATCTCTTCTGAAATTACAAGAATAAATTGATCCAAGAAGATCAGCACAAATCATTCTTTTTGTTTAGATGACTCAGAAATTTCCAATAGATCATTGAAGAAGGTATGGAAAATCAAGGATCAATGTTACAGACCTTGACAATCTGTGCACATTTACTGCTTTCACTAAGACCAATCATTGTTTCTGCTGAGATCTGCCCTCATACAGAGATATCAAGTAAGGAAAAAAAAGAATGGAAAAAGAGTGGGCATCAAGGAAATTAAATAAATATTCAAAACAAGAAAGAGCTTACTATCTTGACATAGGGAAAATCACTTGTAATGCCGATAGTTGCTGCCATTGCAGTCTTGCCACTGTTCAAATAAAAGTATTAGAATAGTGGCAACAAACAAAGTTAAATAAAGCAGGAAGATTTACCTGCCACTTGGACCTTCCAGAAGGCAGGTAACCAGTGGGCTTCCTTTGCTCACTTTAACTTGCTCCACTAGTAGCATAGCTCTTTCCTGGATGTGCTTATGCCGTTCACCACAGTCCACCATACCATATAGTCTGCATGTCACAGGTACTTGAAATTAGGTGGTTGACATTTTTATGATTCATAAGAAATCAGGTAGTTGGTGAAGGAAGCTGATATGTACAGAAAATGAAAGCTTATACTAAAATGTATTCCTATGAACAAGCTGACAGCAATTTACCTTGACTTGCTGCTTAGCCTAACAGTGGGTGATGCACAAGGAATAGAGTCTCTAGCAGAAATTCTAGGTTGTAAAGTAGGTAAGTTGCCTGTAAAATATTTGCTTGCCCTTAGGTTAAAGAAATATCTCCAAGGCTATGAGGGGTCCTATATTGGAAAGGTTTGATAAGAGATTGACATCATAGAAATTGAGATACCTATCAAATGACGGAAAAATCACATTGTTGAATAGTGTTCCCTTTGCACTCCCTACTACTTATTTTTTATCCCTCTTCCCACTTCCATCTCAAGTGGCAACATAGCTAGAAAGGAAGATAGATTTTTCTGTGGAAAATCTGGAGGAAGATAAAATACATCTGGTAAATTGGAACAAGGTGTGCTCTCCTGAAAAGTTGGGATGGACTATGTGTGAGAGATTGGTAAATGAAGCCCTATTAGGGAAATAGTTTTGGCACTTCAATGAACAACCAGACAGTTTATGGAAACAAACCATAGTAACCAAATACAGGTCAAGAATTGGCATTGTGGCAGGCTAGGAAGTCATATGGCTGTGACCTTTGGAAAAAAGTGGAGAGAAGCTATAACAATTTCTGAACAGATGCCTGGTCTGCTGATAGATTTTAGTTATGGAATTGTTTCCAGCCCTTTTCTTGGCTGCTAGGGACAGAAACTCTTTGGTAGCATATTTTGTTTTCAGATGTTAAATGATCAATTGGTATAGAATCATGTTCTTAGAAGAAATTTAAACAACTGGGAGATGGAAGAAATCATGGTACTCTGTGATTAAAAAAGAAAAACCTAATGTAAGTCAAGAGAACAAGAGGATCTTCTCCCAAGTTCAAAGGTTTGGCTTCCTCAAATTCCGTCAAAGGTGGTTTGTATGGTAACATAGGATGTCTTTGACAAGTGTTTGACAAGGAGCAGGCTGTGCAGGATGAAGATTAATTTGGATTCAATAGACTTTTTTTCTTTATTGATAATTGATTCGGCAGACTGTGTTCACTGTCAGCAAGAAGTGGAAACTGCTGATTACCTACTTCAGCATTGTAATTTCTCATATGCACTGTGAATCAGATTTACAAGACATTTTGGGATCAATGGGTGGAATGTTTCAGGATGAAGAAGGTCAGATTATTGCCATGTTCTCAGCACCTATAGGCTGGGGGGATGAAAGAATGGTAGGATCCATCTAATGGACGCCAAAAAGATTGCGGAATGGGTGGGCGAATTTCAAAAATTTCCCTACCTTCTTCCAACTGGGAATCACATTCCCCAAATTTAGAATACAATATTCAAGAATCCTACTTGAACCATAATCGAACCAGATCTGAACCAAAAAGAAAAAGGGAGGATTATACCTGATCCAGAGAAGCAGTATCTCCCAAAGTTGGTGTTCACGCCCAAAGAGGACACCAAGATCCGCTCCTGTTGAAGATGACACAATTGTATGTGGAACGGAACCAGCAGAGTGCGTCCTACACATTGGATCCTTCTCAAGAATCCTCTGGAAACTCTGAGCACCAAATCTTTTTCAGTCTTTTCTGCAAGACTGATGTCAAGAACTGATTTCTTGACTTCTTTCTTCTTCAAAGATCGAATCTTGTCAGAAAGAGTGGTGGTGG